GAGAGGGGTAGAGATGGAAGAATGACTGGTTAGTGGACTAGTTAGAACACATACAACATTTATTGGTTACATTTGTTGTTTTATATGGGTATGGTTCATGGTGCCGCCCAAATAATTACAATGGTAACATCAAAGATCACTGATTACAGATCTGAATAACAAATAATGAAAAAGTTTGAAATATTGCAGAATTACCAAAATGTGACAGAGACACAAAGTGAGCAAATGCTGTTGGAAAAATGGCACTGATAGACTTACTTGATGTAGAGTTGCCACAAATCTTCAATTTGTAAAAAACACACTATCTGTGAAATGCAGTAAAGCAAAGTGCAACAAAATGAAGTATGCCTGCATTTGGCATGAAGTAGGCATCCAAATTCATTTGCGTAAGGTTATCCAGATATCCCAGCACCATCTGTTAAAGAGAGAGACTATTTTTTTCTCCATTGAATGGTCTTGGTATCCTCGTAAAAAATCAACTGGCCATAGATATTTGGGTTTCTTTCTGGGCCTTTTATTCTTTTCATTGGTCTATATGTCTATCCTTATGTTTGTACCTCACTATTTTGGTTAATGTAGCTTTGTAGTAAGTTTTGAAATCAAAACGTGCATCCTCCAGCTTTTCCTTTTTCAATATTGTCTTGACTATTTGAGGCTCCCTGTAATTCCATATGAACTTGTGGATTAGTTTATCCATTAATGCAAGAAAGACCATTGGAATTTTTATAGGGATTGCAGTGAATCTGTAGATCACTTTTGAGAGTAGTGCATTTTAGTTGTGTGGTCTTTTAATCTGTGAACTGAGAATACCTTTCCATTTAATTAGGTCTTTCATTTCTTTCAGCATTGTTTTTATAGTTTTTAGTGTACATGTCTTTCACCTCCTTGATTAATTACTTGTATTTTATTCTTTTGGATGTTGTAGTAAAGTAATTGTTTTTTTATTTCCTTTTTAGATTATTCATTGCTGGTGTATAGAAACAATTGATTTTTGTATATTGATCTGTGACTTGCAACTCTGTTGAATTCATGTATTAATTTTTTGGTGGATTCTTTGGGATATTCTCTATGTAGAATCACGCCATTTGCAAATAGGGATAGTTTTACATCTTCCCTTCCAATTTGGATGCCTTTATTTCTTTTTCTTGCATAATTGCTCTCTAGGATTTCCATACAATGCTGAATAGCAGTGATGATATTAGGCATCTTTATCTTGTTCTTGACCTTAGAGGGAAAGCTTTCAGTCTTTTATCATTGAATGTTATATGTGGATTTTTCGTGAATTTTTTATATCATGTCAAGGGAGTTCCCTTCTATTCCTGTTTTGCTGAGTATTTTATCATAAAAGGAAGTTGAATTTTGTCAAGTGCTTTTTCTACAATCTGTTGAGATGGTCATGTGGGTATGTTTCCTTTGTTGTTAATATGATGTTTTACATGGATTATGTTGAACCACCCTTGTATTTCTGGGATAAATCCCACTTTATTCATGGTATTTAATCCTTTTTAAATTTATTTATTTATTTATTTATTTATTTATTTATTTATTTATTTATTTATTTATTAGAGAGAGAGACAGAGAAAAAAGGAGCCTGAGTAGGGGCAGGGGAAGGAGCAGAGGGAGGGAGAGAGAGAATCTCAAGTAGACTCTCAAGTAGGGTCAGAGCCTGCCACTGGGCCTGATCCCACCCCGAGATCACAACCTGAGCCGAAATCTAGAGGACGCCCAAGACTGAGCCATCCAGGTGCCCCAGTGTTTAATCCTTTTAATGTGCTTTTCTATTTCTTCTAGAGTAAGTTTTGGTTAAAGTGTGTGTTTCAGGAATGTGTCCATTTCATCTCATTATTTGTTGGCATAACATCTCGTATAATTCTTTTAATTTCTGTAAGGTCACTAGTAATGTCCCCACTTTTACTTCTAATTTTATTTACATCTTCATTTTTTTAATTGATCTAATTAAAGTTAGGAGAATTTTTCAAATATTCATGTCTCTCTGCTGTAATCTTTATGATTTCCTTCCTTCTGCTGGTTTGGGGTTTAGTTTGCTCTTTTTCTACTTCCTTAAGGTATAAAGTTAAGTTGTTGATTTGAGAAGTCTTCTTTTTTAATATAACCATCTACAGCTGTGAATTTCCCTCTTAGCACTGCTTTCACTCCATTCCATTACTTTTGGTATGTTGTGTTTTCATGTTCATGTTTCTCAAGGTGTTGTTATGGGTTGAATTATGTCCCCACAAAAAAAGATGCAAAGTCTAACCCCCAATACCTCAGAATAAGACATTATTTGGAAATAGGGTCTTTACAGAAAAATTATAATGAGGTCATTAGGGTGATTCTAATCCAATATGATTATATCCTTATAAAATAGGGGAAATTTAGATACAGAGACAGACATGCACAGAAGACTATATGAAGAGACATGAAAATGCCACTTGATTATTATGGTCTATAGCATGTTTTGAAATCAGGAACTGTAAAGCCTCCACTTTGTTCTTTCTCAAGTTTGCTTTCGCTATCAGGGTCTTTTGTGGTTCCATATGAATTTTAGGATTTTCTTTTTCTGCAAAAAATGCCATTGGGATTTTGATAGGGATTGCATTGAATCTGTAGATTGCTTTGGGTAGTATAGATATTTTAACAATTTGTCTTCCAACTCACAAACAGTATCTTCTTTTAGCAATGTTTTATAGGTTTCAGTGTAAAAGTTACCTCTCAGTTTATTGCTAAGCCTTTCATCCTTTTATCCTTATTGATGATAAATGGATTTTCTTAATTTCCTTTTCAGATTGGTTAGTGTACAGAAACAATTGATTTATATATATATGTAAAATCTTGTTCTGTTTCTCTAGAGAACCCTGACTAAATGCACATGGCATCCTCAGGTACTTGTAAGCAAAATTTTTATTCATTATTTTATTTCCAGAACTGATTGTGGAGTACCTGGCACATTGCAAGAGGCTTAAGATATTTGTGGACTTGAAAGCATTCATGATCAGACATTCTTTTGCTCTCTGTACAGAAAGAGGAGAGTTCATTTTCTTTTCCCTCTCATCCCTAGCCAAATTTCTGCAAAAGCCCAACTTATAGGCCTAGACATCTTTGATAATTAGTTTGAGAACAGGAAAGAAGGCTCTAATTGGTCTCTTTCATTTCCTAAAGACTGGCAACTGTTAGCAGGATAAAGAATAAAGAAATGTATATATGAGTGACTGTGGTGTGGAAAAGATTTGGGGAAAAATTAGCTATTGAGGTCTGAAACAGGAAAAGAACATTCGTTACTTCAGGTAAGTTAGAGGATGGACTGGGGAGAAAAGGCCTAATGTTTGAACTTACTGGATACCAAAGGTGGAAGAAAAACAAGTTACTGAAGGGAAAGAAAACACGAAGTTTTCTTTTTACCCAGGAGTCTTTTAGCACCCACATGAGCTTTAAAAAAAACTAGGGTTAATGTACCTTTACCTAGAGAAAAATAGTATAATTACTTTCTCTAAATTTAACCAATGAATCCATTATTTGGTTTGATATTTCTCAATGTTGTGGTCACTCTCCCCCCTGGTTTCTTCTTACTCCTTAGCTAGGAAAAGCAACTTTCTTTCCTTTCTTTTGCACATAATTTGAGTTGGCCCTAAACATTTTCAGAGGCCATTCTTGATTGGAGTGCCCTTCCCATCTACTCTAACAAATTATACCACTCCTCTTTTTGTCTCATATATTCAGTGGTATTTTGTCTGTAAATATCTGATTCAGACCTTGACTGAAGAAAAAATGTATTTCAAAGCTGAATCTTTAACAAACCTCTTTCGAGCACTGTCCATTCATTACACTATAATAGCCAAGAGTTTGTGAATATTATAATCTATTTTGTTCCAACCAATTTTTTAAAAGATTTTATTCATTTATTTTAGAGAGAGAGCAGGGGGAGGGGCAGAGGAGAGGGAGACAGAATCCTAAGCAGACCCCTTCTGAGTAGGGGGCCCAACGGGGGACTTGATCTCAGGACCCCAAGATCACCACCCCAGCAGAAATCAGAGTCCCATGCTGAACCAACTGAGCCATCAGGCACCCCTGTTCCAACCAATTTATATTCAATTTTTTTTTTGTCTTTTTTCTTTTCCTTTTTTTTGCACTTACTGAAGTGTAAGTTCCTTTCATTAACTTGAACCATTAACTTGGGAAACTGTCAACACTTCATATTATACCTATTCTCTGGGGATGTGTAAAAACAAACAATCCATTATCATTGCTTAACAAACACCCAGAAGAGTACCAGGCACATAGTATGTACTCAATAATTATTTGGTGTCTGAAGGAGTTAAGGTGACATTTATAAAAGCAATACTGTTACATGGAACAAGAAAACCACATTTGAATTACTAGCAGCTATTTAATTATGCCAGTCCTTTCTTGTTTCAACACAGAGGTACACGAATTGAGGACTTAATTCTTTGTTTAATTCTGGAAGATTCAACATCGTGTCTTAAAGAATTCATTAGTTGAACGTAAGCATCCAGATCCCGTCCTATAGTACTTCAGTCAAAAAGTTTACCACCTCCAAGTTTTAGTTTGTAAACATTCCCAGGCCAGGAGTCAGGTATTGCTTTTTGCTCACCCAACTGGAATCCACTTCAGCCCTTTTCATTCAACCATCACTTCACAACATGCCGGCCTCTCCCCTGTGTCCTCTCACCCCAAACCACAGACAAACCAAGCAGGAAACCACAATTGTTCCAGCTTCTTGGAGAGTGCAACCCTAACTTTGAGGCCACAAGACACGTTTTTAACCACACGGTTTCCTTCCTCTGGCCCGATTAGGTTTTGTCCGGACAATATTTTGCTCTCGCAAGACGCGCCCGTCGTCTCGGAGTCGAAGACCGTAGCGTCCTGCCGCAGCAGCCACCGAAACCATCGTAACAGCTTTCTTTTTCCTCCAAACTCCTACACGTACTTCCTAAGCTCCTCAGTCGTCTAGAAGCCCCGCCCCGCGGCTTTGGCGCCGCGGTGTGCGCATGCCCGGTGCGCGCCGCCTGCCCCTGCCGGGCGCCCGGTCCGCCTTCGTTCCCCGTGGGCCCCGCTCGCGGCGTGCGGCTGGCTTCCTCCCCAGCCGAGCCCCGCCCGGTCGTTTGCGGGCGCGCGCCCCTCCTCAGGCGGGTGGGCCGCAGGGTCGGGAGGCTTCGAGCGAAAGTCGATTGGCTGACGTGGTGGCCGCTCGTAGGGCCTCAGAAACTCTGGGCGAGCGCGCAGAGTCGGCTCTCCAGGCAGTGCCAGGCGCATCTCAGGTAAACAGGTAGGCTGGGAGGTTTGGGCGACGGAGAAAAGGAGGGTGGGCTTAGATCCAGCCCTGGAATTTCCGGCCGCAAGAGGAGCGACTGCGCGGAATCTGCGCCCGGTGAATGTTGGTCCCGCACGGTCAGGAGTGATGGGGCTCCCGCGAAGGTCAGCGTCTTGGGATCCGCAGGTCCTCCTTCTGGGCATAATTTCGGCATCCTCCCGTTTCCTATGACACGACTTCAGCTGAGCATTTATTCAAGGGTGTAGGTTTTTGTTTGTTTTTCCCTTAAGTGGCGGTTAGTTGGAGAGTTCAGGTTCTGGCTCAACCTGTGATTGTGTGTCCTTGAGAGTCACTTAATCATTGTGTGTTTCAGTTCTCACACTTGTAAGTTGCAGCAAAGAATGCGATGCTTTCTTAGGCACAGAGACCGTGCTGTAGAAAGATACTGTTAGAATTTTTGGCTTCACAGTGTGTCTGAGCCCAAATTTCTCTGGAAGGTGACACCACCCAACAGTATTTGTGAAGTATTTTAAGCTCCAGGGATGAAAGGAACTAGATAAACACAAGGTAGCAGCATAATTAGGCAGGGTGGTAGAAAGAAAAAAAATCTTTTTAACCCCCCACAAGAACAGGCTTTTTTGAAAAGCTCCTTTGAACATGTTATGCACTGTGGCAGTAGACAGAGGTAAACCAAAACAAAGGGCCAAACAAAACACATTTCAAGGTCCCCCCACCCTCCAGGTAACTTTAACATACTTTCATAAATTATTGGCTTTTCGAAGTTTCTCCATGGGATCTAGTGTGGTACTAACTGAAAATGACAGTTACATAATTATTTGAGTATCCTGTGCAGTAGTGTACCAAGAAAATTAATTAAAATGAAGCTGACTTCTATATAAGATAACAAGATACCTCATTGATGAAAAGTAATGATGGCAAGTAAGAAAAATGAAAGGGGGGTGTACACAATTTTCTTTTAAAGGCATAGATTTTATAAAAATCTTTTTAGTGTGTTATTTTTTAGGGTATAATAGATACAGAGAAAACCGTATAAATCCTAAGTGTACAACTCATTGAATTTTCACAAAGCGTACATATTCATGTATCTAGTACTGGATCAAGAAGGAGCATTACTTGCATCTTAGAAACCCCACTTTCTGTGACCCATTTCCAAGGGTAACTATTATGTCGATTTCTAAAGTCATCTATGAATTTACCTATTATTGACTTTATATAAATGGAATCGTACAGTAAATAGTCCTTTGAGTCTCATTTTTGCTTAATATTATATTTGTTAGATTTATACAAGTTCGGTAGCAGTAGTTCTCATGCTGTATAGTATTCCATCTAGCTTCTGGTTATTATGAATGGGGCTTCTATGAACATTTTTATAAGTACTGTTGACCCTTGAACAGCATGAATTTGGACTGTAGGGGTCCACTTATGCATGGATTTTTTTCAATAAATACAGTACACTACTGTAAATGTATATTCTCTTCCTTATGATTTTCTGAATGTTTTCTTTTCTCCAGCTTGTTTTATTGTAAGAATATAGTATATAATACATATCCACAATGTGTATAAATAGACTTTATGTTATTGATAAGGCTTCCAGTCAACAATAGGCTATTAGTAATCAAATTCTTAACGAGTCAAAAGTTAAACTTGGATTTTTGAATGTGGGGGATTGGTGCTTCTAACTCCTGCATTATTCAAGGGTCAATTGTATTTTGGTGAATATATGTATACATTTATGTTGGGTATACATATACCTATTGGTGAAATGGCTATATTATAGGATATGCAGGTATGTATTTTTGGTATATAGTACCGAGAAAGTTTTTGAAGTTAGTTGTGTCAACACTCCTATTAGCATTGTTTGAGAATTCTGGCTCCTCCAAAAGCTTGCAACACTTAGTGTTGTCTTTTTCATTTTAACCATCTGGTGGATTTATAGTGATCACATTGGGGTTTTCCCCTCATTTCCCTAATGACTAGTAATATTTAATACCTTTTCATATGTTTATTGCTCATTTAGATATCCTCTATTTCAGGGGTCATTAAATTTTTCTGTAAGGGACCAGATAGTAAATATAGGCAGTCTTTGCTTTATAGAGTTGCATTTAATGCAGTACTGTGTAAAGCTAGGACTGCTTGTATTTTAGGCTTTGCAGATCATATACAGCCTCTGTTGTATTTTCTTCCTTCCTCCCTCCCTCCCTCCCTCCCTCCCATCTTTCCTTCCTTTCCTTCCTTCTTTTTTTCTTTTTTCTTTTTTTCTTTCTTTTTTTGCCTGCCTATTTGTTTGCCTTCCCTCCCTCTCCCCCTCCCTCCCTTCCTCCCTCCTTTCTTTCATTCTTGTTTCGTAGATTGCTAAGACCTACTATGTTGAAAAATCACTGTTCAAAAATGACAGTTCAGGGACATCTGGGTGGCTCTGTCAATTAAGCGTTCGGCTCTTGATTTCAGCTCAGTTCCTGATCTCAGGGTGGTGAGATCAAGCCCCATGTCAGGCTGCTTGCTGCTCAGCAGAGAATCAGCTCAAGATTCTCTGTCTCCCTCTGCTCGCCCCCCCGCCCCCCCCCCATGTGCACTCCTCTGCACTCTTTCTCTCTCTCTCTCAAATAAATAAATAAATCTTTAAGAAAAAAAAGGAAGACAGCTCAATCTTTAGCCCATTGGTGATGGTGAAATTATTGAGAGGGGCTACATTGAAAAAAAATCTAAACACATAGTGATGTTAAGTATTGTGTGCTATAGTGTTTTGAGATTAAATAATAGTATTAAGCAGCATGTGCTGTAGTGTTTTGGAGTTAAATTCAAAATATCTAAGCATACTTTCTTTGCTTCTTATCAGTTTTACCTCAAGGCTAATTAGAGAGCTGTTTCAGGCTTCTCTAAACTGTTCTTATTACTCCTACTTTTTCCTATCCCTTTAAAGCCGATGAACAAAAGAGGTAAGAGGTGAGAAAAGAAAGGAGACAACCCTTTTCTGATATTCTGATATTCTAATAGTCCCTAAAGGCTAGGAAGGGATAAATATCCAAGCAGTTCTGGACACTTAGAGTAAAAAAGTATAAAGAGCATAAAATACTTCCTGCAATACTTTGAGATTCTTTTGAGCTGTTCCATTGTGGTATGGCTTGATTAAAATTTATATCTACCTGATTGAGTATACTCATAATTTGGAAGATAATAATAGCCAATGGCTTGGGCCATGAAACTCAGCTGTGGCATCCCTGCTCATGGTGGAGGTCCTCTCTTTTTTAGATGCCCCATTAGGCTGCCTAGTTCATCTTCTCTTACGTTGGGCCTCCTGCCCTTCACTCAGTACCAAAAATATAAAAAAACTTTTGAGGGGCGCCTGGGTGGCTCAGTCATTAAGCGTCTGCCTTCGGCTGAGGTCATGATCTCAGGGTCCTAGGATCGAGCCCCGCATCAGGCTCCCTGTTCGATGGGAGGTCTGCTTCTCCCTCTCCCACTCCCCCTGCTTGTGTTCCCTCTCACTGTCTCTCTGTCAAATAAATAAATAAAATCTTTAAAAAAAAAACAAAAAAACTTTTGAAAGTGTCAGAACTTTCTTTGACTACTATTTCAGCCTATGTTAACATTTTTAGCTAACACTTCCTTTTTTTTTTTTAGGTGGTTTATAGGAGTGAGTTTGGGAATGTATTTAGATATAAGCTAATACTAATGAGAGACTTAGGGGTAATCTCCCTCAACTTGATCTTTTCTTGGAGATAGATAATTGAGTTTTGGTCATTCTTACTTGATTGTTATGCAAACACAGATTTATGATAAGCCATTAGGCCTAGCTTCCACCACCAACCACTGCTGTCCTTAAGCCTTTCTTATATAGAAATTCTTGATCCAGTGTGGAGAAAGGGGAACCCTCCTACACTGTTGGTGGGAATGCAAGCCAGTGCAGCCACTCTGGAAAACAGATGGAGGTTCCTCAAAAAGTTGAAAATAGAGCTACCCTACAAACCAGCAATTGCACTACTGGGTATTTACCCCAAAGATACAAATGTAGGGATCCGAAGGGGTATGTGCACCCCGATGTTTATAGCAGCAAGGTCCACAATAGCCAAACTATGGAAAGAGCTAAGATGTCCATCAACAGATGAATGGATAAAGGAGATGTAGTATATATATACAATGGAATATTATGCAGCCATCAAAAAAAAAAAAAACCCCAAACAAAATCTTGCCATTTTCAATGACGTGGATGGAACTAGAGGGTATTATGCTAAGCGACATAAGTCAATCAGAGAAAGGCATGTATCATATGATCTCACCGATATGAGGAATTCTTAATCTCAGGAAACAAACTGAGGGTTGCTGGAGTGGTGGGGGATGGGAGGGATGGGGTGGCTGGGTGATAGACATTGGGGAGGGTATGTGCTATGGTGAGCACTGTGAATTGCGTAAGACTGTTGAATCACAGACCCGTGCCTCTGAAACAAATAATACATTACATGTTAAAAAAAAAAAAAAAAGATAGTAGGGAGGGAAAAATGAAGGGGGGAAATTGGAGGGGGAGATGAACCATGAGAGACTATGGACTCTGAGAAACAAACTGAGGGTTTTAGAGGGGAGGGGGGTGGAGGGATGGGTTAGCCCGGTGATGGGTATTAAGGAGGGCACGTATTGAATGGAGCACTGGGTGTTATACTCAAACAATGAGTCATGGAACACTGCATCAAAAACTAATGATATATGATGACTAACATAACATAATAAAATAAAATTTAAAAAAAAAGAAATTCTTGATCCAGTTATGCATTTATATACATTTGTTTAGACACACATATTCACACATATTTTGACAAATACAAATACCTTACTGCTTTATAATTATCACACAAAACAACTGTACTTATATGCATTGTTTTCACCCTACTTCTTGAACCAGTGTTGGAGTCATTACCAATTATTATGGTTGGTAAAGGGTATAAAGTAGACCTCATGTAGTACAAATGTTTAATGGTACAGGACCCTGACTAA